AATTGCACTTTTTAGCATTTTAGTCACGGTTTTTTTTTTGCCCCTTTACCCCAAGAAAATCTTTCACAGTAAGACATTAGAATTACACAACTCGAATTTTAATTTTTAATTTGTTTTAATAATTTTAATTGCGAGACTACTATCTGTAGCATTCAGAGATGGCACTTGCCTTTTAGTTCAGGCAATCATAAAATAGAATTGTATTCTTTATTACTATATTCATCAGCAAACGTTGGCATTAGATGCGAGCATCGTGTTTGTTTTGAACACAATTTACACTTTCTTATCGAATGCAGTGTGTCGTCGTTGCCATCCCCTCACGCCGCACGTTGTCACGTCCTTAGTTTAGTTGTGATCGCAGGTAGCATGCCTGTTGCAATTCACGCACAAGATCGCGTGTCATTGGTGGGCCGCTTCGCGCATTTATTGCTTTTGCTTACGGGGTTTATGCTGCACGCACATTGTCATATTGTTGCTTGTTCTATCGATGGATTGCAGCCAGTTTCGTGCCGGTCGCTGGCGTATCTAGACGTATTTCGCGCGACTCATAAGATGTATATCATGCATATAACATGCATCTGCAGGGTGTTTTGTTACTGATTAATTTGTGCATTAAATATCCATAATTTTTATGTTTGCGTTTGTACTTACTTGTACTTGAGTAAGTATCTTATATCTGACTTGCGCTACTCAGCCCAAAATGTTTGTTTTCACCGATTTAAAAAAAAGTTTGCTCGTTTTTCGCGTTTTTCAAAACACACGGTGGAAAACAAGCCATATCTCGTGACCACTTTGTGATCTTTTAGTTTTTTTCTTTATTTTATGATAGGACAAGAGCGCATTTTTAAGATGACCCCCTGAACACCCGCGAACTTCGGTTGTAACTGCCTCAAAATGGCCGCCAAAGTTAGGCCTTTCCTTGCATTTTGCAAAACACGGTGAAAAACAAACCATATCTCAGGAACCCTTCGTGATATTTGAGTTTTTTCTTTGTTTTATTATAGGGTAAGAGTGCATTTTTAAGATGCCCCCCTGAACCCCCGCAAAATTCGCTCGCAACTGCCTCAAAATGGCCGCCTAAATTTGCCCATTTTTTTGCATTTTTCATAACACACGGTGCAAAACAGGCCATATCTCGGGAACCCTTCGTGAAATTTCAGTTTTTTATTTATTTTATGATACGGCAAGAGTGCATTTCTAAAATGCACCCCTGAAGCTCTGCGAAATTCGGTTGCAGCTGCCTTAAAATGGCCGCCAAAGTTAGGCCTTTTGCTGCATTTTTCAAAACACGCGGTGGAAAACAAACCATATCTCAGGAACCTTTCGTGATATTTTAGTTCTTTCTTTGTTTTATGATAGGGTAAGAGTGCATTTTAAAAATGTCCCCCTGAACTCTCGCGAACTTTGGTTGTACCTGCCTCAAAATGGCCCCCCAAGTTAGGCCTTTTGTTACATTTTTCAAAGCACGCGATCGAAAACAAACCATATCTCGGGAACCTTTCGTGATATTTGAGTTTTTTCTTTATTTTATGATAAGGTAAGAGTGTATTTTTAAGATACACCCCTGAACACCCACGAAATTCGGCGTAACTGCTTCAAAATGGCCGCCAAAGTAAGGCCATTTTTTGCAATTTTCTTTTGATTCTTATGATCGTTTCCTGGATTTTTAATTTCTTTGGATTCTGTTAGTTTTTTTTTGAAGGTGCAAGTCTGTCTCTTCGCATACCGTAGCACGGTGGCAATAAAAGTGACCCGTATTCAGAGCACCAAAGGGGGATGGTTGAAGTGACTCGTATTCAGGATACCGTTCGAGGCTAGCCGTAAAAGTGACCGTACAAAGGTAGCGGTACAAGTGACTCGTGTGCAGAGCACCTTACGTGGATATTTGTTTAACTGACTCTTATTTGCCCATTCTTTGGTTAATTATTTTTTTATATAATAAATTTTCCTTTTAACTAACTTATTATACAGAAAATTTTCCGTAGATCAAGAAATTGAAATGCGTTCTTGCCTATCTAATCTAATTAAGCAAAAAACAAAAAATGGCTATTTATAGTTGGTCACATTTTTGGACCTTTCACCTCACAAAAATTAATTAATTAAAATTATTAATATTTTTTATCTGATAAAGAATTTTCCAATTATTCAATTTTTGAACATTTATTTTGCGAATCTCTGTTAAACTAAAATAGATAGAAAGATTCGCAGAGTCATAATCTATGGACAATTCTCTATAAAATAATACATATTTTGTTGCAGTATTGTAAAGTATTCTTAGGTGGGCTAGAATACACGCATATGAATTAATGTAAACCAGTTTTTGACGTGATAACGTCTTTAAAATCGTTTTAGTCGGGTGACTGTTCAGAAACTGTGTCACGAGGCCTCTCGAGGCCGATCGCAGGTATACCCCCCTCTCGTTTTAACGAGAGAGAGACGGACCGATCTCCCGTCTCATCGCGAGCGCTGCCAGTCATTCCGTGAAACTTGCCACGCGGAATCCACACGAGCGGAGGCAGGCATAGCGTTCGAGTGAGTTGACCGATCTTCCGTCTCTCTCACTCTAGCGGCATACAAACGAATGGAGATTTTCTCGTGCGGTTAAGTTTTCGTTGAATGTTTAACAGTGAAACAAAATGTGAAGTGCAAGTGAAGTGTTACAACAATTGCAACAAACAAAACTTATATCACCAATAAGACGTTATCACGTAAACATCTCGATCGTAAACCTACTTTACAAACAACCATTTTTTTATTGCTTTCAGCGTGCGTATCTCAACAGTGATAGTGACCTCGTGCAGTTGCTGTCTGCTGTGTGCAACCGTGACCGGACTTTTGCCCCCAAGACGATCGCTCACACGACAACTGCTCACAGACAACTGCCCACAGTCATAACTACGCACACGGACAATTGCTCGCAGGGCTTTTGCTCACATTGACAATTGCTCACACGGACAATTACGCACACGGACAATGTATTTAATTTTTAAAAAATTTTAACAATGAATATTAATTATGAAATAATTTATATACAAATATATAACAATTAAGAGGCCTCGCTTGCACGCTAATAGTGTTTGATTTTTCAAATTAACTATTTGTTCATTCTATCTTAATTAATTAGCAATAAATATAACTCTTTGAAGTTTCACTTCTAGTATACTCACACATAATTTTTAATAATTACATAAATAAGTAATTAATATATGAATAATTGTAAATTTGCCAATCTCCTTAAGTATTGCATTATTATTCATTGTTTTTTAATAAATATAAAAAAATTAAATTGTGAGCAATTGTCCGTGTGCGCAATTGTCCGTGTGAGCAAAAGTCCTGTGAGCAAGTGTCAATGTGAGGAAAAGCCATGTGAGCAACTGTCCATGTGCGCAGTTATGACTGTGGGCAGTTGTCTGTGAGTAGTTGTCGTGTGAGTGATCGTCTTGGGGGCAAAAGTCCAGGAACCGTGTGCAACTCAAGGCACACGCAGTTCCATTTCGGTTATCGAGTGAATCGCGCGTTTTCATTGCGACTAGTTTTCGTTCTTAAAATCATAATTAGATTAATGGCGGAATGTTCAATTAGCAATTGACAGCATTTACTGAAATCGGATGTGAATGTGGTTTTGCTAGTGATGTAGTAGTAGCATGCGTCAATCGCGGAGTTATCAGTGGTTCACCTATAAGCGTGTGATATTCCGTCGGCCGTCGGTGATTGTTTTTCGCTTGTGGAATTAGGTACATTGCACTCGTTAACCTATGTGTAAATAACCTGCGTGTCCAAACATACTTAATAATAATTTGGATTTATGTTTAATTAGTATAAATAAACAACGTTGATGCCTGTTGGCGAAGTTTAGGAGGACCTGTGCCAAGGAGTCTACCGCTTCCATCGCAGAAATGTTAGAGATGCGCGTATTACAAGGCAAGTTTTACTTTCAAGAGATTTAGAGCTGTCTATGATTTTCGATTAAAAAAATGGATGTAGTTTTCAATGTTGCTAATAAAACATAATATAATATTATATACGTCTTCATACTTCTATCTGGTTTCCCCTTTACCGTTTGCAGGATTGATGTCTTAAATCATATTCTGAATAATTCTTAAGTGCGTCGAGCGTGTACAATATATAGGTGTTGTTTGTGCTGTGCTTTGAAAAAGTTGAATAAGGTAGAATCATAAATAGAAGAATCAAATAAGAATGATAAAAGCACTCGGTGGTCGAGTGGGTACGTACACCTTCTAACATGCTAGTAGGCACGGGTCGAACCCCAGGTGTGGAAGGCATTTTTCTCAAATATAAAAATAACAGGTGTAATTTGGGTTGCATATATGAATTGCAACGAAATATATGATAAATTGAAATACTAGTGATGGCAATAAGAGAAGTAAGAATGAGAGTAAGTGGAGAAACGGAGAACAGAAGAAATAAGAGTAGTAGTAGATGAGGGAATAGCAGAGAAAGAGCAGAAGCCATAAGGAAGAGAACAACAGAGTAGAGAAGAGGAGGAGATAGAAGAAAGAGAACGAGAACAGGGGAGGATCAATTTTTTGGCCCGTGTCGTTAGACAGTCTACTGCTTCGATGTGTCCATTGCTCCCGGCCCATCCCACAGCTACGATGTCTCTGCGCTTCATCCCCGAAATACTCAGGCATATTAATAATTTTTATGGTGGGGGATCACCCCCAGAGAGAGGGAACTCCTTATAAGGACAATCCTTATAAGGTCTTGTTCAAATATTTCTAAGTTTTAAGTCGTCTCAAGAGAGGCGACACTTAAAAATATTCTTACAAGTTCTGACCTGTAGCTGAAATGAAAGAAGGAACACACAAATCAATAAATCAAAGAAGTCAATATATCTTACTATTTCTTTATTAACAATAGAATACAAGTTTAGACTTTACCAGACAACAAAATACATGGCGCATATTAAAACAGGATTTACGACCTGCTTAGCTGCGCACATATAAACAAATACCACTTCGTACAGGTCTACCGGGATAAATAAATTAGTGAATAGCTCAATTTCTACGTCATTAAAATATATACAAATATACAGGGTATTACAAAAGGAAAATTTAAAGTGCAAAGAGAAAAACATTCAAACACTACAAATATCGCTCGTTTTTCACCCGACGTATGGGAAACGAAATACAGGGTGCTACCAAAAGAAAATTCGAAATGCCAGAAGTTAAATTCTAATAAGAGTCAAAGCATAATTTTCAGGGATGTGATGGAAACAAATCATAGGAGGCCCAGTCACTTTTAACATTTCTTTATTGAAATATGTATACAATGAAAACCTAGAATATATAATATTAAGCAATATATAACCCGCCATTTTGAATATATATATATATATATAATACTAACAAATTTTGCATAATTTTCGCGGCAATCATTGAAAACTATTATATAGGGTGTCCCAAGAAACTGTATCGTAAAATTTTAAAAGAAAATGAAACGTTCAAGTAGGGAAATATATCTTTAAAACCACAGTAAAACATCGAAGGAAATTAATATACAGGGAGATATAAGAAGAAAACGACAATATTTCAAAGGAAAATCCTAAGTGTAAATTGGATAACATACAACTTACCCCTTTTGACAAATTCACCACGGGAAAATATTTTACAGGGTGTTACAAAAAGAAAACCCTATGTCTCAAAAATAAAATGCCCAAACACTAAGACAAATGTTCTATTAAATGATAAGGAAAATATATATATATGTACTGGGTGATACACAAAAAAATTAAGATTTAAGTAGAAAAATGCATTCTTGCCGTATCATAAAATAAATAAAAAACTAAAATATGACAAAGGGTTCCCGAGATATGGCCTATTTTCCACCGCGTGTTTTAAAAATTGCACGAAGAGGCCTAACTTTGGTGGCCATTTTGTGGCCGCTACGACCGAATTTCGCCGAGTTTCAGGGGTACATTTTAAAAATGCACTCTTGCTGTATCATAAAATAAATAAAAAGCTAAAATATGACAAAGGGTTCCCGAGATATCGCCTGTTTTCCATCGCGTGTTTTAAAAATTGCAAAAAGAGGCATAACTTTGGCGGCCATTTTGAGCATGTTACGACTGAATTTCGCAAAGCTTCGGGGGTGCATTTTAAAAATGAACTCTTGCCCTATCATAAAATAAATAAAAAGCTAAAATTCGACAAAGGGTTCCCGATTTATGGCCTGTAATCCACCGCGTGTTTTGAAAAATGCAAGAAGAGGTCGAAATTTAGCGGCCATTTTGAGGCAGTCACGACCAAATTTCGCAGAGCTTAAGGGGTGTATTTTAAAAATGCACTTTTGTACCATCATAAAATAAAGAAAAAAAACTGATTAATCACGAAGGGTTCCCGAGATATGGCTTGTTTTCCACCGCGTGTTTTGAAAATTGCAATAGAAGACCTAAATTTAGCGGCCATTTTGAGGCAGTCACGACCGAATTTCGCAGAACTTTAGGGGTGCATTTTAAAAGTGCAGTCTTGTACCATCATAAAATAGAGAAAAAAACTGAATTATTACGAAGTGATTCCGAGATATGGCTTGTTTTCCACCGTGTGTTTTGAAAAACGCGAAAAACGAGCAAACTTTGTCGTTTTCTTCGTTTTCTATACTACCCGCAATTATAATTAACAAGGCCCCCCTAAATCGCGAGCTATTGCAACACGCAGGTCATAAAACATTTGACCGAATAATATAACTTAATAAAACCTTACCAATGCAGTGCTCATTGGAGTACTAGGACACAGCTAGGATACTGCAATTAAAAGAAAACATAAGTTAAAATAAAAACATTGCATACAATATAATATTATATTCATAAATCGGAGAAAACAAACATTTTGGGCTGAGTAGCGCAAGTCAGATATAAGTTACTTATTCAAGTACGAGTAAGTACAAACGCAAACATATAAAAATTATGGATATTTAATGCACACATTAATCAGTAACAAAACACCCTGCAGATGCATGTTATATGCATGATATACATCATATGAGTCGCGCGAAATACGTCTAGATACGCCAGCGACCGGCACGAAACTGGCTGCAATCCATCGATAGAGCAAGCAACAATATGACAATGTGCGTGCAGCATAAACCCCGTAGGCAAAAGCAATAGATGCGCAAAGCGGCCCACCAATGACACGCGATCTTGTGCGTGAATTGCAACAGGCATGTTACCTGCGATCACAACTAAACTAAGGACGTGACAACGTGCGGCGTGAGGGGATGGCAACGACGACACACTGCATTCGATAAGAAAGTGTAAATTGTGTTCCAAACAAACACGATGCTCGTATCTAATGCCAACGTTTGCTGATGAATATAGTAATAAAGAATACAATTCTATTTTATGATTGCCTGAACTAAAAGGCAAGTGCCATCTCTGCATGCTACAGATAGTAGTCCCGCAATTAAAATTATTAAAATTAATCAAAAATTAAAATTCGAGTTGTGTAATTCTAATTTCTCACGGTGAAAGATTTTTTGGGGTAAAAGGGAAAAAAAACGTGACTAAAAGTGTAAAAAGCGCAATTTCTCTTTTTAACCCAATTCATTCAATTGCGAATATCTCGTATACTAAAAGCGGTAGAAAGGAACGGATTGAAAAATATTAATCTACGAAAAATTCTCTATAAGACAAAGTATTAAAATATTGCAAGATGTGTTTCAGCAAAGCAAACATGGTCGCAACAATTCATAATAAGACTACCTACGCGGTTCGCAATAGACACGATACCTGCGATCTAAATTAAACTAGAATATGCTACATGCAGCAAGTTGATGCGGCGTGAGAAGACGGCGCGCGGCACACATGCGATAAAAAGTTGTTTATGTCGAATCGCTGATAACAGCACTGTATACAAAATTATTCTCGTGGCCACGTTTGTTGATAAATATAAAAATAAATCGTGTAACGCGATTTTATGATTTTTAGTACATCCTAGTGCCATCTATGAATGCTATAGATAGTAGTCCCGGAATTTAGATAATGTAAATAAAATAAATACAATTAATAAAACAATAAAATTCAAGTCGGGAAATAATTATTTCATGTGCTTAAAGATTGACCGATGTACCTACTATTACTATACTATTTAGGTTTATATTTTAGCAATGAACAATTCCAACTTAATTCTAAAGACAATTTATACTCAAATAAAAGGCTCGTAAAAACGTTTTGTTGCAACTTCAGTAGAAAAAATTATAAATGTCAACTGAAAGTTTTCTGCTGAAAACTATTATCACACTTGACCAAATTATCACATTTGACCAAATTACCAAATTTACTAAAATAAAATGATCAGAAGAATGGTTTATAGCAACATCCAAAATAAGAAGTGAACAATTTCAAATTTAATTTTAATTTTTCTGTGGAAAATGTGGGTTTACATTTTATCATATTTCGGGCATACTATTAGAGCAAGAGAAAAATTTTACTAAAATAAAATGTTCAAGGAGGCCTTCTATAACAACTTCCGAAATATAAACTTTACATTTACAAAATAAAATTTTTCTGTGGAAAATGTCACCTCACGTTTGATCAAATTACAGGAAAGCTATAAGGCTAAGAGTAAACTTTTACCAAAATAAAATACTCAGGAGGATTTTCTATAGCAACATCCGTAATAAAAACTTTAAATTTCCAAATTTAATTTTTCTGTGGAAAATGTGACCTCACATTTGATCAAATTGCAGAAAAACTATAAGTCGAAGAATAAAATTTTACTAAAATAAAATACTCAAGAGGACTTTCTATAACAACTTCCGAATTAAAAACTTTAAATTTCCAAATTTAATTTTTCTGTGGAAAATGTGTTTATATTTTATCAAATTGTGGGAAAACTATCAGTTCAAGAGTAAAATTTTACTAAAATAAAATACTCAAGAGGACTTTCTATAGCAACATTCGAAATAAAAACTTTAAATTTCCAAATTTAAATTTTCTGTGGAAAATGTGACCTCACATTTGATCAAATTGCATGAAAACTATAAGTCTAAGAGTAAAATTTTATTAAAATAAAATGCTCAGGGAGACCTTCTGTAACAACTTCCGAAATAAAAACTTTTAATTTACAGATTTTATTTTTCTGTAGAAAATGTAAGTCCACATTTAGTCAAATTACAGGAAAACTATAGGTCCTAGAGTAAAATATTACTAAAATAAAATGTTCATCAGCACTTCTTATATGAACATTCGAAATAAAAACTTTAAATTTCCAATTTTAATTTATCTGTGGAAAATGTGCGTTTACATTTTATCAACTTGCGGGAAAACTATTAGTTCAAGAGTAAAATTTTACTATGATAAAGTGTTCAGAGCCACGTCGCTCGTGCTTGACAGAAATTTCCGCAAAAAAGAAGTTTCAGATATGCATTCTCTAATTGCAATAAAACCGTAACAACGAAAAATAAATACTATCAACGATGAAAAAATTCACTCACCAGTGTATCGAACACCGTAAATGCAATGGGAGTAGATTCTGAAATAAACAAGAAACAAAACATTAGATATACAATTTCGGACAATGTTCAAAGGAATCCGAGTTTGGGAAGAACCTAAACTTTGCCTTAAAAATCGTCTTTGCCATTATTTAAATAATAATATGTACCAGGTAGAACAGCCGCCCGTCCTGATCTGCTGAAGACAAAATGCAAGCGATCCCAGATACAAGCGAAACTGTAGTAAACACACAAAACATTGAATTCCAAAGATAACACACGCGATAAATATTTAGCGACTAAAACCTGTCGAATAACACTAAATTCCAGTAAACATAACGCGATATAACGAATTTACAACACGATACACGAATATCCATTTAAGTATTACTACTCATCGTACGAAGTAAGGGTTGCGCGCCGGCTGCGCAACAACTGGACACGCTGACTTTCACTCGCAGGAATATTTGTAGCAAAAACATGCATTATTGCGCCATCTGAGGTTACTTTTGAGTACGTCAAGAAAGTACAAAGTGTACCAAAAAGTGTGGCGTGCATATGAGGCAGTGAGTGATCGGCTATGAGTCAGTGTACGGTCACGCACTTAAATAGCAGTGCCCGTGCGTCACACGTACAGGCAACTGCGCATGCACCACCCTATCTAAACGAATAGCAATTTTTACACATAACTCAAAGCTTCAAATGTAGAGGTCGCTAGAATGTATTAATTCAAAATAAATGAACTAAATCTTGCAATTTTAATAAAAATATTCATCAATTTAGCAATAAATAAACATAATACACTGCATAAATCGTCAATGAAAGCACATATTTTCTTTAAAATTGCATCAAATCTCATCAAAAACTACAAAAAGTTTTCCGATATATTGAATTTATATGATCTACTGACGCCGTCGGACTCACGACCAACCAGTACCCGAACCTGATGTAAACATGCCAAGCAAGGCCCAGAATCAGGCCCAAATCAGCTGTTAACACCAGATATTCACAATACGATATTAGAACAGTAGGAAAGTTTAGAAATACACCCCATCACGCACCACAACCAGTAGATAGATACATTACATTACAATATTGAAGAAACCTTCATCACCCACAAGATTACTCCGGTTGACCGCCATATGCGCGTCAAAAGACATCGCCAATGAGCAACCCCAACACGTCCGGCGGCACTGCCGGAACAGTCGAAGACGATGAGTTAACCCTTCCTCGTGCCAGCATCAACAAAATGATCAAAGAACTAGTCCCGACTGTACGGATAGCCAATGAGGCACGTGAGTTGGTACTCAACTGCTGCACTGAGTTCATTCATCTTCTCAGCTCTGAAGCAAATGAGATTTGCAACCAACTGAATAAAAAGACTATTAATGCAGATCATATTTTTATGGGTAAATGTTAACAGTCAAACAAAATCAAAATATCTAATCATTTCTCTTCCAGCACTAGAAAAATTAGGATTTACAGATTATCAAGCAGAAGCAGAGGCAGTACTGAAAGACTGTAAGGCTGTTGCAGCCAAGAGAAGGAGACAGAGCACAAGGCTGGAGAATTTGGGCATACCAGAGGAAGAGCTGCTCAGGCAACAGCAGGAGTTGTTCGCAAAGGCAAGGCAGGAACAGGCTTTTGCTGAGCAACAACAGTGGGAACAATTGCAGGCAGCTGCACAGCAAGCACAAGCAGCTGTCCAGCCCAGTGATGATCAAGATGATTACTCCTAATTCAGAATTTTCTACTTAGATTAATTTCCAATGCAAGGATGTGCTGTTTTTATTTAATTTATAATCCGTAATACTATGACGCAAATGCGAACTGGAATAAAGTATAACTTTTTGACAAAATACTAACTTACCTATTTAAAATGTCCTCAGATCTTAATGAATCTTGATCGGCACAGTACAAACTTTGAAATCCAGAAAACATGGCTTTTAAACAACTGAAACAATAGAAGATAAATGTTAGTTGCCGAAATCGTAGATTTATTGACGATCCGACCGCCATCTACCGTTAAAATCGCGGATAATAATAAAATATTTAAATTTGGCGCGCAAAATAAACCTGCGCATCTGTGGGGAGACAGCCGAACTCAACCGATATTACTGTTCGTGAGAGCCGCTGAGGCTCAGAACTGATCGTAATAGTGCAACTAATTTAATAATTCATATCTTTCAAATGGTGTGTTTATATCTATAATTTGCGTAAGTATATTATTTAATTTTTAAAACATTTTATAGCCATCGAAGCAAGTGTAAAATACCATAGGGGCAATTTTAATGTTGCATTTAAATTTTGAGGTTAGCGTTCTCGCTTTGGATAAAATAAGCGGTTTAAACCAACAGAGGTTGAGAACCATATCTTAGACTTGTTTTATTTTCCATTGTGAATTAATGGAATCTATAAATACGCCTTGTTCGATAATTTAATTTACTTTGCGTATTTACTTCAAATAAACATTATTGTTTCAGGTGTAATTTGCACATAAGAATTAATTCACATAATACAAAATGGCATCATCAAGTCCTATTGAATCTGCAACAACAAATATTGTAGCCACTGTTGCTGTGGCTTCAACTGCATCAACTGCAAGTGTGAAAACGACTGTATTTTCACCAGATGACATTAAAAAAATTGGGCTTGATAAGATCATCAACAATGATGTAACAACTAAAAGTTCTGAAACTGTTGAAGATAAAACAGAGAAAATTGATGAATGTAAGTCTGAAGAAGAAATGAAACAAGTTGAAGGTAAACTTGATGATAAAACTGAGAAGGTGGATGAAGATAAACCTGTTGATGACTCAGAGAACATTCATGAAGATGCTAAAGTTGAAAATGTTGAAGAAGGTAATGCTGCTCAAGAAGTTGAAGAAGATAAGGTTATAGAAAAGGATAAAGACAATGAAGAATGTAAACAGGTTGAAGGAGAAAAAGATATTGACGAGGAAAAAGACTTAGAAGAACCAAAAGATATTGAAGTACAGAAAAATATTGAAGAACAGGAAGAAGCAGTTGAAGAAGCAGATGATAATGAAAAGCATAAGGAAGTTCAGCCAGAAACAGCTGAGGAGGAACACATAGAAGAAGCTAAAGATGGTGTAGAAGAAGGTGATGCAGTTTCTGAAGATAGTAATGATGTAAAAGAAGTTGTAGAGACACCTGTCTCACCAAAGACACAAATCACGTTCCGTAACAATCTCAAACTTAATATGCAGAGAGTGCTGCAAGACAAGAAGATCACAATTGTTGCAAAGAAAAAAGCTCAACAGCTTGTTATAATCAAGCGTCCTAATCCTGATGTTGTTGAAGGCAAAAAAATCAGAGTAATGCAGAACCGTATCATCCACGTGCAGAAAAAAGTTGATGCTGTAGATTCTGTCAATGGCAAAACTCTAAAACTAGTAGGAAAAACAGTGGCAAAGCCAGTTGTAAAGAAAGCTTCCGCATTTGATTTTGACGATGGTGACGAAGGAGCGAGTCCTGTTTTTAAAGCATCTCCTATGCGTACGTATAAACGTAAACGGAATGATGGTCAAGACACAAGCGAGAAAAAAATAGTCATTGTCCCAGCTGTTAAAAAGATAGAAGTGAAAGAAGTCGCTGCAACTGTTCCGCAGCAAATTCCAAAAAAACGTATCCCACTGAGAAAAACTGAACTCGCGGAGCAGAAAATTGAGTTTTATGATGATGATGATGTGGATGATGATCTTGATGAAGAGCAACTCGAAGAAGAATCCGATTCTGAAGAAATTATCATTGTTCAGGTTCCCGACAAGACCAAACAAACGGAACTTGTTGTTGATGACGGAGATGAAGATGATGACGAAGATGACGAGGAAGAGATACATTTTATTACTGACAAAGATGCTGATGATTCAGACTCAGAGGATCCACAGAGAAAAATGATGAAGAAGTATGATGGAAAAACTCAGGCCGAAATAATTCAAGCAATCAAAAAGAAACGCGGAAGGAGAAGCAAAGCCGAACTTGAATTGTTAGCCAAATGGGATAAAGAAACTAAAATAAAGAAGAAGAAATCAGACGAATCTGATGATGAAGATAAAGAAGACAATGACGAGGATGATGAAGAAGATGAAGAAGACGAGTCACAAGTTGAGAAGATTATCATGTCGCCTACTAGAACCGGCCGTGTCCCTAAACGCAACAAATTGTTCGATAATTTTGTTACAGGCTCTAGAGCAGCACGTAAACCGTCAACAAGTGACTCTGAAACGCCAAAAGTTCAGAAGACACAACCACAGACTCCAAAAGTTGTTGATGGTGAAACGCCAACTCCGAAACGCAGAGGAAGACCACCAAAAAACAAAGCTGTCGAGACACCTAAACCCACACCTGTTGAAGAAGTCCCTGAGGAAAAATCAGAAGTGAAAGAGGTTCAGAGTGTTACACAAGATGAAAAGTCCGAAGCGGTGCATGTAACAGGCGATTCGGAGGTGATTGTTATTCCAAAAAAGAGGGGCAGGCCTGCACCAGTTAAAAAAGTTGAAGCAGTTAAAGCAGTTTCAGAAAAATCCGAATCCGAGGAAGAAAAAGATGAAGAGCTTATTGTAAAGAAGCCGCGTGGTAGGCAGGCGAGTAAAACCGAAGTCGAAGAAGTGAAGAATGGATCCGATCCGAAGGAAAAGACTAATACGGAAGAAGAAGTTGTTTTGCCCCGAAGGGGCAGGACGGCGGCGAGGAAGACGGTCGACGAACCTAAGGTAAAGAGCACGTCGCGCGGCCGGAAGCGCAAGATGGCCGAGCGGCAAGAAAGTCCATCAACATCAGCCGCCGACGACGGTGTTGATGAACCTTCGAAGAGGCAGAAGGTAGAAACGCTTAATGAACCTGTTGCAGATCTAGGCGCGACGCCCAAAGAGGAAGGCGCCACCACAAAAATGTACAGATTATTAGTTGCTAATTTAGTTGTTAACGTAAGAGAACGGATGGCTGCCGCCCAGGACCAACCTAAGGGGTATGTAAATCAACACCAAATCATTTTATCAAATAAATTAATTGTTATTTTAGACCTGGTCAAACTGAAACATGCGCCATTTGTAAATTCAATTGTAAGAAGGCCGAGTGGAATGCGCACCTACAACGCGAACATAATAACATTGCATGGAAAACATCACAAGAACCATTGGTATCAATATTAACATTTTTTACTAAAAATTATTAAGTTATTCTAAAATAACTGATCGATTTTTAGGATTTAGATGATCACTATGTGATCCAAGCAGCTTTATTGAAATTATATCCGTCTAAACCATACACGTGCGACTTTTGTCAGGATAGTAAGAAATCCGCTCTGGGTTTCTTAACGCATAAAGTCACATGTAACAAAACACAGGAACAAATTGAAGAGCTGAAACTCAGTTGTGACTTGTGTGATAGACGTTTATTGCCACATCAAATTGTGGATCATGATAAATATCATCGAAAGATGACTTTACAGAGAGCTAAATCAAATAAACCAGACTCTGATAATAGTGTTGCTAAAGCAGATGGTACACCTTCTAGACGAGCTGCTGCGTTAAAGGCTTCGGAAATGATTAAACAAGTAACAACCACCGAACTATCCACAACTGAAGGAAACGCTCAAATCCCGTTTAAAATATTGGTATGTTTAATTTAGAAATAACATTAAAACATCAAAAACTGATATTTTTATGCTTTTAGAAACAATTTTATGTGAAAAACAAACCTGATCATTCAAGTATAAAGAATTTAATCAAGAAAACGTTGGAAGCTGGTGAATTAGCGTGTATTTTCGGTTGTGAACAGAAATTCTCGGAGTTGCATGCGATTTATGAGCACTTTGAAACATGTCAGAAAAAAACTGAATTTGTAAGTATAATCATATGCTAATATTGTTGTTACTAATGCTGTCTACATTTTATTTTAGTTTTTCATTTGTAAACTTTGCCTCAATGTATCTGAAGTTATTCCGGACTTTAAAAAGCATCTTAGTGATAAACATTCCGCTGAAGTTGAGAAAAAAATGACCGACGGCGATACTTTTGTTGCCGATGAATCAAACGTCGCTGAGGATCCTGAGGAATTTGAAGCTGATGAGGTTGAAGACGACGATGACGTTAGTAATAGCAAAAATAAGCCAGGGGAAACCAAAAACATTAATACATTCTGTAAGTATTTTAAGCCTAAATTTCACAAGTATTAAATTTTACTGGTATTTTAATATGCATTTATTTTTATAGGGAAAATAGTAAAATTTAGAAAGTTATCAAAAACTCGAAACGCTCCTAAAGGATGCCCGCTTGGCAACAACGCGATCGTTTACTCAAAAATGATGGATTTGTAAGTGATTTTCTTATTTTCACCTTCAAATCATTCTAACTGAAATTTCTGCATTTTTAGTTGTTTAACTTACTACTCGAAAGAATTATTCACCAATTTCCCGTTTAAAAAATCAACATGGTTTGCTGTGAATAAAAATTATATCGGTCAATATCTGCCTAAAATGAAACAATCAATACCAATCGGACATGTCTTCGGGACAATTAAGGCAAAACCAGATAACACTGCCTTTATAAGATACCGCTTGTTTGAAACGGCATTGGTAAATGGTGTTGTGAATATATTTTGTGGTGGACCTATAACTGCAATGGCTTGGGCACCCACCGATTATAACGAATCGGAGTGCGAGCAGATACTTGCGGTTGCTGTGCAACCAGATATCACTAAAATATACGACTATACTAAGAATGATGTACATAAGAGTGTGATTCAATTGTGGAATTTTGGAGTTTTGCAAAATAATCAGCCGTTTAGTGCAGTTCCACACTTGGAGGTGATTATTGCGCATCAAAATGGCGGTTGCTTTTCGATGGAATGGTGTCCTTCGGGAGCGTATGAAGGTGGTGATGGAGTTAGGTTAGGGTTGTTGGCGGCTTGTTGTACGGATGGGAATGTTTATTGTTATAGTGTTGGACGAGGCAATTTATTGAAGTAAGTAGAAAAACATTAGAAAATTATTCACTACTATATATTTTTTGTTTGGATTCTAGTGAAAAAATATATAAACCGAAACCAGTTTTCAAGCTGGTTATGACTAAGGAATGTGATATTAATTTGGCTCACAGAGGTCTATTTCCGACAAAATTATCATGGTCTAAGGTAAGTGCTGTTTTTATCTACCTCTATTTTATATTTCACTTTTATGTGCAGTAAATTCCACAAAAATTTAATCGGCAGGAAGATGGCTTAATTTTTTATGATTTCAGGCATCAGGACATAAATATATAGCAGTGGCTTACTCAAATGGAATGGTAGGAATGTTTAATATCAGCACAGATAGTGAATTGTTGCAAGAAGTTGACGCGAACAACATCAAAGTGTTCTATCCGTATTTTTGTTTCAAGGCGGATGATATCGAAATAACTGGTTAGTGTTTTCGTAAAGTTTAAATTAAAAATTTCCGAGCAAATATATTAACTTTTATTCTTTCAGCAATAAGTCTGAATTATCTCGGTGGTGGTAATCGTTACTTGGCTACCGCTTCCGGCACGAAAAACTTTAAGTTTTGGGATATTCAGTCGATGGCGTTGACACCCTTAATCGTAAATAAGCGCGCGTGTATTAGTCAGATATTCTGGCCCACAAACGCGCTGACGATGTTTAATTGCAATGATGAATGTTCAAGCAACGGTAAATAATTAAACGTTTATATTTATATTTTCTATTACCAAGTAAACTAAAACGTGCAGAATATTTTCTAGGTAACAATGAAATTGTTACAGGTCAATAGTTTGAGGTTTATTTGCAGAATTTTGTAAATACATCTGTAATTAAAACCTGAAGCAACACATTTTATAATCAATATCTGCACTCGCGGATATAATAGCGTTGTGAAATATTAATGTGAACTATTATTTCGCAGCATATTTAACGATGACATCAACAAATCTCATCGAGTTCGATTTTGTGCGCCCAACGTCAATGCTCTTCAATCACACGGGCTCACGCTGCATCAGTGGTTCGGATTGGGGCGGCACGGTTTATCAAGCTAACGAGGCGGGTGAAGTGACATGCGCTACATATCGCGACTTGGTACCATTTGCGTTGGAAGTGCCTTGCAAACGATACGTTTGCTCTAATGCCCGAATCATCGCCGACGACAATATTTGTCTGTCGACTAAAAACAAGCAGAATTTTGACATCCTCCAGAAAACACATAAGGTTTTATTCCATGACTACAATTTGGTATGATTCTAATATAAATTTTGATTGGATAAAATTTCTGATTTATTGTTTTTGATTTTTTATAGACTAAGAAGTCAAGCCTGAAAACTCAAGAGCGCGCCGCACATGAACTCAGCTCTCCGGATTGTTCCATGTTTCCAATACAAGCGGCAACCGCCATCTGCACGAACAGCAATCGTTTTAGTTTTCTCTTCAACGCGGTCGGTTACAACATTGGTTTTGTGCGTGTGTTTCACTCGAACTTTATGAACGTTTTATAATTTTTTATCTTTAATTTCTTTTCTAAACATAATTGTAAATAGAAAAAATACTTTTTATAGATAATAAAATCTACAATTAAGCATACTAGTTTAAGAAGATAACGTTAAATTTGGATTATTTTGTAAAATTATTGGTAATACACTTTTCGTTCTCAATAAATAAACATAAAACTTGTGTGTGCTTATTGAGTTGCCTAGCATAACATTGCTTTGTACTTTGAGTTGCGTCTTAAATCTTGCAAGTAAATTTAGTAGCCTAAATCAATTTCCGCGAAAATTATTTTCATTGTTGTAAATTAATCTTCATGCCATTCGAAGGGTTGCGGAGGTTCGGGCTCCTTCTCCTCCGACATGGATGGTCCGTGCGCTGAAAATTAATTTCAACGCGGCGTGCATGTGAGAGGTTTCACTTAATGAGCAAATTACCTGACACAAACTCGACAATCTCCTCCTCCTCAATCTTACAGCGCTTCAGCATGATGATGCCGCCATTGCTCACGTCCTTGATGGGCACGTGATTGCCATCAGTGACGAAAACCACCGCCTTGAGCTGCGGCTGCATCACGCGCGCCGGATTACTGATTATTTCAAAGTCTGCCTCCTTTTCCGTTTCCTTTGGCTTCTCTTTATCTTTTTCTTTATCGTTTGATATAGATTTATTACCGGACTTTGATGAGGCATGCGCTTTCTTAAGCTGCTAAGATAAATTAGGTTAGGATATGTTATACCTGCATTTTAACTGTGAAATAAGTATTTATATACAAACATTTTCATCCAATTTACTCTTAAGTTTATCATATTTCTTCTTCTTTCTTGCAGCAACACTCAACAAAGCAGATGAACCTCTAATAAGTTCTTCACGTTTTTTCTCCTCAACAGCAGGAGGATAACCATATGTCGAAGGTTTTGCATTGGATTTAAATTGTAAAATAGGCATATTCAGATCTCGGTTTAAACCAATCAAGCAAGTTGGTGTGAAAGCTAAAGATAAGCAATGCGCCATTGGATACCAATACCAGTAGTGGGTAAAAAGCATTGTCCCCACGCAAGCAAACATATTCACATGACCAGTGCGCGATTCCAAACTCAACGTAGCATTGCGTCCGCCGCCATCAATAATACCCTGCGCCACGATAGCCCCAAACTTGCTCATAACATCTTCGTGCTTATTCTTGATCACATCAGCGTATTGTGCCCGTAATGCGGTGGAGCGTGGGCAAGTTTGTTCCGTATGCTGGATACAGATCAACGCCGAGGCTATCAAAGCGCCTTGCCGTACGTAGTTTATCGGATCCGCTTGGATCATAGGTTCCAAGATGGCGATCGCTTCACGTAGGCCGGTACCAGCGCAAGCGATACCCAGTGCCATTGCGGAGGCATAACGGACGTGCGGGTTGTAGCTTTCAGCAAGGAGGGAAACCATGGAAGGACATAGGCTTGGGGTCCTGAAAGGATGCAATAATTACTTCACGGGAAACAAGGCGTGGGGAACAAAAGTTTTAAGATTATGTTTTTTTGGGTATAGACGAGATTTTTAATTAAAACCAGCCCCGCCAACCCGCATTATCTGCTATCTTTCGGCCTGCATATTCGGTAATGTTCGATTATTCCTGCCGGTTCGTTGATTGAATTACGTCGGACGTTTCAGATTTTTCCAACTGTTTCGCTTCGATCAATGCTGAACAGACATTCGACAATAACAAATGGCTCTGGGTGAACAAAGGGCAAAGAAAAAGAAAAGCAAATTCTATTAGTTTTTGTTCGATCGGTGGAGCAATGTAGGACCATTGATTGTTTCCGTGAAAAACGCATATTGCATCATTACCCACTCTCGTAATCAAAAAATGCATTATTCTATAAATTGGGCATTTGCGCATTGAATTTGGAATTTTTTAAATCTTGCTATTTTTATATTCTAAATGTTTATTTTATAATTTTTGGAAAAAAATTGTTTTGTTATTTAAATTACTTATTACTTATTATACTACTTATTTAAGAGAAGGTTGCGAAGAATAGCTGTGCCATTAAAAAGCAGTTTTTTCCTTAGCATTCCTAAAGCAATGCAATTAAATATTAATTAATATATTAATTAAATACCACTATGCGCATACGATGAGAAATTAATTTCTCTTTAATATAGTACTTCTATGTATGCTGTGCATTTAGTAACTTCAGTTTAATGAAAAATAGTCTTATGCACTTTATTCAAAAACTGATAAATAAAACCTCATCAAAAATAAATGGAATAAATTTGAGTTAGAGATAATTTTCCACCAAATTTCAAAGTGGTTTCGAAGATTAACTCAGTTCACATCTGATTTGAAAGAAAGTCTATAATATAAAAATCAATCGCAACATTTGTTGGTAAGCGCATAACACAACAACGTCTGGACCAATTTGGCCAATTCTTTTTTTAAATGTTTGTCAAAGTCCAAGGTTGGTTTTTACGGCAAAAAAAATTTGAATAATTGCCGGGAAAACCCTAAAGACAGCCCTTTTCCATAGGATAAAAGTTGGCATTGAGATTCAATCATAATTATAGTTAAATAGTCGTATCCGAGATGGCGCACTGAAGTGCATTATTAGCAATTCTTTATATAATTAATTTCTTTAAAATAAAATTCCGATCTTATTGATAGAATTGACTCATATTATGTATAGAACAAAAGAGTAAAAACTTCTCAGCGATTTTGACCATTTTTTTCGTCAATTATTCAAAAACTATTTGCAAAAATTTATTTTTAATTTTTTCCACAAGCTTCATATATCGAATGATTACTTAATCTCATTTGCCGGTCTAAATTAGTTTCATGCAAATTCGCAACTCTTAAATATAACGCATTAAATTTACGTTGTTCCCTCAAACCGAAGACATTGATAAACACAATAGATGATTGTTTTGTATGTGATTGCAAATTGTTTTGCTATCATTGCCGGTCGCCGGCGTGCTGAGGGAAAGAGCGCGTGATTATTTGCAAATGACTCCATTCGTAAATGGCATGGCTCATGCCGCGGCGCAAATTCGGCGCATTAATCGCCGGAAGGGTCCTTCGGCGACACGCGCACGTCACTAATTGCTGTCATTACGCGATTGATATATATCTATATTCGATCCGCCGGCGCGCGCGTTATGTCCGAGCCGCGAGGGGGGCGGCAAACATCGACGACAAAGCCAGGCCACCAGCAGCAGCACATTACAATTAACTTGATTGCTTTGAAATTATCAACATATCAACGCAGTGCAAAACATATTATTAAACGACATTTATGATATCGTGTACACGCGATTATTTAATACCAGCTTTTATACAAAGAAAACTCTTTAAGGATGGTTTATTTTTCTAATAGTATATGATTACTTTGGTTAATAAACAGTCGCTTTGGATTATAAACTACGAGATATTGTGCGTTACTTCGTCCGTGTAGATGTAAATAAAAAGTAGGCTTACTAATTAATTTCTTGGGTCTACTTCTGTGCCGCCTCCGCCAATTAGTTCATCAATACTTCAATTTTACGGTAGAAAAAATATATGTGAAAAAAATCAATACCAATTTTTAAACCTTATTTGAAGCAATATTTTTCAACAAAAATTGATCTACTTGTTTTTCTTGGTCAAAAATAACACTATTTAAAAATTTACCAAAATTGGTTCAGTTGTTATGAGTTGAAACCAATAAAAACCAATAAAAATAAAGTCGTGTTTGTTACAACATTTATAAGTCAAGAACGCCTGGGCAGATTTTGATGATCTATAATTTGTTGGATTCATCTCGACCCAGAATAGCAGAATAATATCTAAAATATAAAAATGAATCGCAAAATCTGTTGGTAAGCGCATAACTCAACAACGCCTAGACCAATTTGGCCAATTCTTTTTTAAATGATTGTTAAAGTCCAAAGATGGATTTTACGGCGAGAAAAATTCGAATAAATGCCGGAAAAACCGCAAAGACAGCCCTTTTCTATAAAATAAAAGTTGGCATTGAGATTCAATCATAGTTATAGTTAAATAGTTGAATCCGAGATGGCGCGCTGAAGTGCATTATTAACAATTTTTTATATATTTAATTTCTTTAAAATAAAATTGCGAATCTTATTGATAGAATTGACACATACCGTGTCTAGAACAAGAGAGTAAAATCAAATTACATTTTTATTAAACACTACCGGGACGAAGTCGCGGGCAAAAGCTAGTTATTTAATAAAATCATCTAAATTCGCTATTGTTGAATGTATTTTTGTTCCGTTAATAAAATTTATCTCCCGAGCGCGTTGTAATTGTCCTAATTGTGGCAATTAAGTCCATTTACTAGTCTTTGCCGGTGGTTGTGAATGCGGCTCTGAATGCCCTGAAAGGTTTCCGTTGTCCGGCGTCCGTCGCCAACGGACAAACTGATTGTAATCCGCGCATTCGCGTATTATCGTGTTTCCCTCTTTGAATGGCGCTGGCGTACACGCGTCATTGTTCAAAGCAGTGCATTTCTACAACTTGTCAAAAACATCCGTGCGTGAAAGAATAAAACGAGGCAAAAAAAAAACAACAACGTGCAACATGTTTCTTTCAGCCCCTTTGAATGTTGGAATTATTTGTTTCGCACTGTTTGGTTGCATACGGTTGTTTACAGCCGCATGGCATTAGTTGCCTAGCAACGGCTGCGTTTGCCAGACATCCCTGGAAACACAACAACAGGCAAAAGCATAAAACGCTTCGGGCGCTTCACGCTCTTTCAGTCTCATAACAAACGCAATGCGTTAAGTACCATTAAAATAGTTTGTAATAATGCCAAGTAAATTTAAAATTAAAGCAAAGTGGATCTAGACTACTTTTATATATGTACTCGTAACTGTACATAAAATGTTTATTCACCGATGAAACTTAAACGCAGTGTGTTAAAATGTGGTAAAACTGTGTTAAGCCACGAGTAATTTTCATTTAATCTTCAACAACATAGCATAAAAACTCCTTCAACACATTGTAAAGAATTTTCCTTATTAATTCGATTGAATTAATTAAAAAATCTTATAAATATTTCCCTTATTTTGTTATGCTCTTTAGAAAAGATTCTTTGTACTTTTTAACTAATTTATGAATGAATATCCAACGCTCTTTTATCATTGAAATTATTTTTAAAATTTTTATGTGCAAAAAAGTGAAGAGGCTTAAAATTCAGCGACTCCCCTAAGCAGATGATAAGGATGAGCCGGACTCAACAATAGCCCACGCCATTAACCTCGACTGGAGGGGTTGGCGCGCATTTTTCTCAACCCCTTTCAGCACCAACCCCTTTGCTTGCCGCAGGACTCAGTTCATAACACTTCGAGTGGCACTATGGGACTTTCGATGTACCTACGACGCAAGGACGACACCAAGGACTTTAATTTACATTTTAATTCGGTCTTTTTATTGCTATTATCGTTGTTACGAGCCGCGTTTTAATTTAATTTACTATCGCGCTGATAATAAGGGTTGAAATGAGAAAATTCAAAAATTTTCATAATTTCTGATAAATATTTAAATTTCAACATATATAAAACTAACATTCATTAGATACCAAAATGATAAATAAAAGTTTTTTGAATAACTCGCATGGTTATATTTAGTTTTTAGTTTAAACTCGTAATTATTTGAATAGAACTAAAGCACAATATAAATAATACAAGAAATTTAATTAAAAGTTAAATTCCCCGAAGTGAACATTTTGTGGATCAACGTAAACAATTGAATCCAGAAACCTCGTTATTCTTTTTTGATTTTCATTCCTCCAAATTGCTAACGAAGCACAAGCGATAATGAACCTTGATATGTATTTAAATGCTGCGATGATGATTCGAGATGGCAATGTTAATGATGTAATAATTAGAACTTTCAATTCCGCGTAGCCGCAGCCGCTAATGATTTTTCAAATCATTCGAAACGCACATATTAATCATAACACCGATAACGAGTAAATTGTAACAGACAACAAATTAACTCTAATTATTATTCATTAAAAAAATCATCTGGCGCCTGCGGATTCTTCTATGCGACTAAATTGAGAGCGAAACATGAGTAGACATTTATAACACTGCTTGTTGTTGATTATATAGGCGGAGTCAACTTTGTTGTACGCAGACGCATTAAGTTTTAGTTTGATTTAGTACAAACTCCGGGCTGTTGTAAACTAAACTGCTTAAGATTGATGCATAGTCTTATCACCGACTTAGTTTCCGGCAGGTAAGTTTGTCCGGTGTGAAACGTGCCCGAAGCTGGAAGCTTTGGGCATGAAAAAGCTCCGAAGGTGCGCGTGTGCTCTCTTCCCAACTCCTCGCTGCTGGCGTTGGCGGCCGCGGCTCCCAACTCGCCGCCGTCAGTATCGGCACGACGTCGGTCGCGTTCGCTCCCACCATCACACCACATCCTCCCACGCAGCGCTCGCAAAAATTACGCGCGAAAAAAGTTTGCGGTAACAATTAATAACGAAAGTGATTAATAAAAAAAAGTTTAAAATAAAAAATAAATTTGGATACATTTCAAAACCAAGGTAGTTTCGCTTTAAATTTATTAACGTAAATATTTGTATGTTAATTTAGTATTCAACAGTTGTTGAGATGTTTATTATTGCGCCTGTGGTAATTTATGCCCAGGCATTAATTATGCATACAGCCAGGCACCATATATACCAGATTGATATTAATTGCTGCCGCCTCCATTCGGCTTTTTCTTCCACAACTCGATTAATAATTTTCGAGCGAGCTTCGTCGCTTAATTACGCAACTTTTCCTTATATGCCGTGCGTATACCACACACATAATTCCCAACACATAAACAACAGGCCTTCAATTGTCCAATTGTAATTTAAAATTTCACTCACTTGTGTTTATCTCGCATGTTAATGCGAAACGGACATAATACATATTGATCGATAAAGAGATGGGCTGGAGATGTGTGATGTGTGTGGAGTAAACAATTTGCGTGTCCGTTCGACAAGTGATTTACGAGTGTTTAGTTTCAGAGCACAAATCGTTTTTAAAACAATACACAGCGCGCAGAAATATTTATATCATAACTGACATGTATGCAAACACAATAAAAATGAAATGATTCGGCGAATATTAATATGCATTCGTTGGTTATAGTAATGCGAAGTAATTCCGGTTCCATTTAAGGTTAAACGAGCATTAAAGTGCAGGGATGTGTGCTGTATTGCTTTGAAATCGCTTGACTTTGATCTTGGAAACGACAAAGCAACCAGAGCATTTATCAGCGATTATTGTTTTACGTAAGCTGGCATGCAACACACATCACACATCACAAACAGCAATTGTTCAGTGGGTTGTCTACAATAAATCAAAATGTTAGTTTCTGAGCTTTTACTTTTAGAAAAAGAAGAAAAACTCAGCGAAACAAATGAAAGCGTCACTCACTCTTCTTGAGCGTGTGTGTGGTTTGGTAATGGTCGAGCGTTTGCAGCAGGTCAAAATGTTAGGAAAACGCTTGAAACATCGTTACTTAATCACTGCGCTCCCTCGACGATGAAAAACCGTCTGACAAGTCGAGTACTCATTCATTCCTCATTCAGTTTCATTGCATTTCGACTTTCCGTCATTCCGACACCCGACCTCCGACCCTTTTCGGCCTCGAGACGTCTCAAAGCTCTCAATTTCGATACAATTCTCTCCTCGAGACGCCGGTGAAAATCGAAGCAATTAAATTAAAATTATTTTTTTGTGTAAAACAACAATATTTTCATTTAAAGCATTAAATCTTTTGAATGCAGGTATTTTTATCGATGAACTGAAGGTAAAAAATGACCGTGACACCGAAAATACAATTTGGATATTTTTAGCTCATTGCTTGCTTAGCATATATCACTCCTTTCTTTTATATTTGTGTATCATGACCAAGGTCTTCGTTCGTTTAATTTCATTAAACATTTCAAGGATTTCAATCCGATTCAATTTCTTTCATGTCGATTTGCTTTATTCTCTTCATTATTTTTTTGGCAAGAAATTCATCGTTTGTTCGCAAATTAGAAAAAAGAGCGTCCATTACTCGTGTTTACTATGAATTGCGATCCATTTGCATATCAAAGTCAGAACATTTTTGGCGAAACGAAAACAACGCCGACGCGTGCGTCGGCATGCCAGGCCAGTGAAACCAGTCGGTTAATGAAAGCGTAATGAAAACAGGTTTGCATTTTTTATCACATGCTAAATTTCCATCATTTGATCAAAACAAAATGCTAAATTTAATCTAGGCAACACAAATTTTAATATAGATGTAATTTGGGTTGCATACGGAATAAAATAAATTCTAAAGAAGCCAAATTTTTGACATTTTATTTTGCAGCAGAAAAATATAAAAAGCTGTCTACTACAGCTTTTTGATAAAATAAGCCGATCACAAAATAATTTTTTTCCAAATTACTTTTTATAATTAAAATCGTCCGCAGCGATGATTTAAAAAGAGTTTTCCAAACATAATTATTTCGCTCGAGTCAAAATGAGTTTAGGCGTTATTCGGTCATTAGTCCTTTGTATACTATTAAACTCGTTTGTTGTTTGTTTGGATTTATTCCGAATTAATGCGATAATGAAATCAACAGCCAATTAAGCATTAGCAAGCACATTGGAACTCGGAACTAAAAGGGGAGCAGCACAGCAAATATTGGAAAAAACGTGCCATAAAAAAACCAAGTCGAATGTGAAAATGTGCAAATGCGCAAATTGCGAAACGTTAGCGCATCGTTTGTTCGAATGCATTCGATGTGCGGCACGCTAATGACTTGCATCTATATAAATGACCGAGTAATGCGGAAAACATGCAGGGGCCATGTGCACGGGTGGCCGAGCCAAAAGTTCGTTCGAGTTATGTCAGAGAGCACACTATCCAATAACACATACCGAAACGTTGAAAAAAATTGCTGCTGTTAGCATTTTAAAGCATTTTCAACCGAAAAAAAATTCCACAGCAAACTCGTTAGTAGTTTATTTGCTTGTGGGTAGATGGCAGCGCTGTTATGTCAATCATAAAAACGTAACCAAACATTGTCAAGAAAAACAAACGAAAGTCACAGGCCTAAACAAACCGAAAGAGAATAACACTTTAAGCCTCCGGATTGTTTTCCATGTTTTTCTTTGTTTCACAGAGAAAAATTCACTAAAGAATAAAAAAATCCGAGTTATTTCTTCTTAAAATATGATGGATACAATAATAACCTAATAGAAAATAAATAAAAAGTTTGGCGTTACAAAGGCGTGAAACTTCTCGGCAGTTATCAAAGTTTTTTGGCGTGCGTTCATCGTCGTGAATATAAAACACGTTCACAGCCCCACAACCTCCAAAAGTCGATTATATTCGAATTTTTGCGCAGTCAAAGCCCCCAAACAGTCAAGTGGACTGATCTAGTCAACCCAATAAACACGTTGCCAACACTGCCATATTCTAACAATGTAAATTCATGTCAAACATGTTTTATCTGTTTGCACAAACGCCCTGCGCCCCTGCTGGGAGAGCATTCGGCAAACATTTAACAAGCAGCAGGTCGTAAAACGTAAATTCCGAGGCTTCTGAAGAGTATATGTCTGTATGTGTGCCTCTGGAGTGTCGTGGCAATTGTTTGCCAGTCCTTGGTGGTTTGACACTAATAACTAGGCATAAATATGCCGCAAAATTGCTCGCTTTCCAACGCCTTCAAACACTCAAACTCATTAAAACTCGTCGAAATCGTTGTTCTAATGTAGCGAAATCCGCTCCAAGACAAGGGAATTGAGAGCTGAGAAACGCGCCGAATTATCATTATTAAGAGACGCGAACTTACGAATAGAAGCCACAGGAGGAGAAGTGTGGAGAACACGTCAAGGCACTAACAATTAAGTGAAAATGTACGCTTTATAATCAAGCCGGGAGATGTATCCATTGTTGCCTATTATGAGCCATCTATAAACTAATTTATGTGCACTATTCAAATGAGAACTACTTGTTCCCAGATGGCGTTGCTAGTAAAATACGTAAATTTTGATTTTTTTGATTTGCAGATGAAGACAATTGATTAAAAATGATCGAGTGAGACGAGTAAAACGCGATGCCCACGGCATTGGCGACGACCACCATCGCCACCCCGTCCACAGCCACCACCTTCGTCTCCACCCTCGGCCTCCTGCTGCGATGTACACAAAACGCCACCCTCGGCGACACCATCACCAGCTCAGACCACTGCCGCGCCTTCACCTCCACCACCTCAAACACCACCCTCCCCAGCATTGTATGTCGCGACCTCGCCGAAAAACTCTACGTGTACGCGTGCAGTGCCCTGCCCAACCGGACAGACACGCGGATGTCGTGCGTCGAGTGCAACTCCACGAACGTGATCAACTTTCTCAGCCACAACGTGTCCGGCACGTTCGTGTTGGCGTCGCGAGCAACAGCCGGTGGTGGTTTCGGTGGTTTAGGCGGCGGTGATGCAGCCGCCCGCCGGTTTAACTGTACACCGTGGAACGCCAGCGAGCCGGCGGTGTGGACGTGTGCCGCCTTCGGGGAGGCGGTCGCGTGGGACTGGAGTTTCTTGTTCGTGGTGGTGTTCATACTTGCCGGCGGCTTGGGGAACATTCTCGTCTGTCTGGCGGTGCTGCTCGACCGCCGCCTCCGGAACTACACCAACTATTTTCTGCTCTCGCTGGCGATGGCCGATTTACTTGTGAGTTTGTTCGTGATGCCGCTTGGTGCTATACCGGGATTTTTAGGTAAGCAAATATTTGGCCCCTATTTATGTATTATGCTTAGATATAATTAAATTGGTTAACGGCTATAGCGCAAAAATCAATAAAATAAAATTAATCTATTATTTATTTCATTTAATTACTAGTTTTTGCCCTCGACTTCGTCCCAGTAGTTTTTAATAAAAATGTTATTCGTTTTTACTCTCTTGTTCTAGACATAGTATGTGTCAATTCTAACAATAAGATTCGCAATTTTATTTTAAAGAAATTAATTATATAAAGAATTGCTAATAATGCACTTCAGCGCGCCATCTCGGATTCAACTATTTAACTATAACTATGATTGAATCTCAATTGCCAACTTTTATCCTAAAAGGGCTGTCTTTAGGGTTTTCCCGGCAATTATTCAAATTTTTCTCATCATAAAAACCATCCTTGGGTTTTAACGCACATTATTAAAAAAGAATTAGCTAAATTGATCCAGGCGTTGTTGAGTTATGCGTTTTCCAAAAGATTTTGCTATTCATTTTTATATTAGAGAATAGATTTTAGCGCGAGGAATCAATTAAAAAATAATTTGGAAAAATATTTGAATATTTGAAAGTAGGTAATTGAAGGAATAAAAATGGTCAAGAATCGCAGATAAGTTAGACAAGTTTATTTCTATTCTTGGGCATTTTTTTCTTTCAAATCTGTCGGATAATAATACACAATTTTTTTCCAATAATTCTAAAAAATATATAAAATAAAAAATTATAATAAATCAAAGAATAAAAAAAAAACCATGCAAACACTCAATTATTTTTTTAGATATAAATTTTTAATTATTTCTCAAAATTTTTGTGATGTAAACATGTTAGTCAGGCTAAAAATATATAAAATTTATTACCGAAAGTATTACTAACTAATAAAAACACTTCAAACAAAAAATAAAGTCATAGAAATCAAAAAAAAAATAGTTTCAAGCGTATTTTTCCCGAATTAAAAAAAAACTGATAATAAAAATTCATAACCCTCATAATACGCGTAATATAAGTTTAATAACACTCTTTCACTGATACTTATATTTTTAATTTTATATTTGTATTTTTGTGTACGCGCTTTACTGCGGATGAACAGTTCGGTGGTCAGAACCTCAATCTAAAATCCAATATACAATTTCGATGCCGGCCAGGAATAAAATTGCGTCTACAAAAAATATTACATCGAGACAATAAAAATCTCATCGCCGAATAGCGCCCAAGAAAATGGCGCGAATATCTAATAAACTTTTTCAGTATATAGATTTTTTTACGCACCTTTTCTTTTATTCTTTTATTCAATAACTTAATATTGGAAACGTTTAATTTAACTGCAAATGCCCACCAATCGATGTTATTACAGCAGTGAATACGTTTGAAGATTAAAGAATTCTGCTTCAATTGCGAAAAAAAGCGAAGAAGATAAAATATTAATGAAAGATGGAAATATTGAAAAATATCATACATGCATAGATATGCAGAAAGGAAAACCATCAAGCTAAGTACCTACCACGGCCGTGTGTTTGGATATTTATATTATATGCGGACTTTGTAGTTTTCAATTCACGGAAGGGGGTGGCGGTGGCGGATGCTCCAAAAAGAACGAAAATGCCGGTCGGCGGAGAAAAAATGTTGATATGAATGCGAGATTAAAGCATGTTCCGATGAGCACGTGCGGCAATATACTTCTATGAAAATGTGATAGATGTGGTGTATGGATATTGCGTGCTGGCGGACAAAATATTTTACAAGTTATTACAAAGTTGAGTGTATGATATCAGCATATATTGATCTTACTTTTTTTAAATTAACTGTGAATTGAAAATTACACTTTATCATATTTTTTTATAACAAATGAATAAGTATTTGCATAAAACTGATTCAGACCTGCAAATGTAATTAATCAATTATTTGATAAGCATGAAGTTTGAGCAAAAAATTAAAAATTAAGTTTAACAAACAGTTTTTAAATAAACAAAGAAGTAAAACTGGTCTTTTTTTTTAAATCTAATGTCATTTTTTAAAATAATAAATAATTTTAATTTTTATGGACAAAAGCCAAAAAAAAAAAAAATTAAAAATTCCAAAATACATTTACAAAATTTAAAAAGCTTTTGCCCGCGATTTCTTCCCAGTAGTATTTAATAAAAATGTAATTCGTTTTTACTCTCTTGTTCTAGACATAGTATATGTCAATTCTATCAATAAGAATCGCAATTTTATTTTAAAGAAATTAAATATATAAAGAATTGCTAATAATGCACTTCAGCGCGCCATCTCGGATTCAACTATTTAACTAATATAACTATACTTGAACCTCAATTATTCGAATTTTTCTCGCCGTAAAAACCATCCTTGGTCTTGGACGAACATGTAAAAAAAAGAATTGGTCAAATTGGTGTAGGCGTTGTGGAGTTATGCGCTTACCAACAGATTTTGCAATTCATTTTTATATTATAGATTAAGGAGTACAAATTCCCAAGTATACTTTATCATATTTTTCTGCCATAAAATATAACATTTTTATGCAAAAGTTTGCATATTAACTTTGCGATTAGAGTATTTTTGAATAAATCTTAGAAAGAGACAAATGTGAGTCTCCAAACTCATTTGCAACACAAAATCTGACTTCGGTATCAAGTAAATTGCATTCAAAGTTGTAAGTAGAAAACTTCAGGTGCATCCCCTTGCACCTGGCATTGGGTCACTGTGTTTTATTTATAAATTCTGAGTGGTTGAAGTTTGGAGCGTCGGGGATTTAGAAAAGTGCATCATGCAACCCTGTACGATCATAATTGTCAGTTTGACAATCCCGAAACATTTTTCACATTTCCCTTACGAAATGTCGCCTTTAAAAATCAATTTTTGCCAGAGTCATAATCTCATTCTAATCATCTTATTTATCATGCCATCTTAAACTGTTTTACTACTGCGTATTTTTATCAGATGACATAAAAAACGCATCTTTGATATACTTAATACACGTTAAGAGCATTAAGAGCACAATTTATTGTTATAGACCATGTTGCTATCCAGTTTTACGGCGGAGGCGGCAGTAAATGCTCAAAATCTACGGCCATTAATTTCAACTCATCTTTCCAATTCAAAAATGTGCAATAGTATTGTCGTTGTACAACATTGTACAACATTTAACTCTAAGTAAAAGTTTTCCAACGAAATTAAGTTTATATTAATACACTCCAGAAAGGTTTACAAATGTATAGGTACTAACATTCGCAATTAATTTATTGCTTTACTTAGGTTGTGTTAACGTTGTGCCGTAAGTCCGCAGTCCATAATTTAGCTTTTATTTCAGCGTTGTAATCCATTGATGACAATACTAATGCGTCAACATAATCATTACGAGCACGCCACACGGTAAAAATAGCAAGCATAGCAAGAACAGCAGGAACATCAAAGATATTAAGACCTCTCCTAAATAACTTTTCCGTTCGCTAACATGCTGAGGTCCTTCCGCACCGCTCGACTCGTATACGAACTTTTTACAACGCTGAACGTTTCGCGCAGTTTGCACGCACCGAAGAAAAGATAAACAAAAAGAACGAAAAGGTGTAGAAGAAATTGGACCTACTTATATAGTCAATAACTTAAAACATAAAGAAACTTGTTTTTTGTCCTTCGTGAAATTTATATTCTCGGCGCCTCCACCAATTCTAATATTAAATTCAAAATTCTAAAAATATCTTATAAAATAATTTGATGTAAACTATTTATTATTTTAAGATGTCTATACGGGCATAGACAGTTCAAGTTTATATGCTAGTTAACTTGCGCCTCGTTAGTTTTTTTTTCGGACGTTTTTTTTAAGCCGCGGAGTAAAAATAGCCGCGTCCGTGCTATTTAGGATTGTAAACGAGGAGCAATCACGGTGCACACAGTGTAAGAGAAAATACAAACAAAACACGATACATAACTACAACTACATATGTAGTCATGTATGTAAAACCTGCACAACATGTGTGTGAATACGCGCAGCGTGCGTTTAGAGAGGAAAATGCACATTGTCAACCTATTCAGAGGAGATTCAAAAAGCGCACTGACGCGCCATGACACACTGATGGCAGTTTTCAAGCTACTTGCATATATTCACATACATATTTATATAGTATACATGTACATAAAACATAGTACGGATGAAAAGGTGCACGTTTTTGTTAGCGCCAAGTGTAGAACAGCGGTCTAACCTTTTGAAACAAGTTTTTCTTTAAAATAAATAATTAATTACGCTAGATGAAGCCCGGAATGAACGTTAATAATTTATAAATTAATTGCTTATTTTATTATGCACTTAATTATGTGAGCATTATGTAAACAGTAATTTTTGCGTTAATGTAATTAGAAAATAGTTTAGTTTTAATATTTGATAGAAATTATTATTTTAATCGTGTATAATTGTTTAAATAATTGAAATACACCTTTTTAACTAATTTATTCTAAACTAGCTCTAGCCTTTGAGTTTGTCGAGGTAGTTTTTATTAAAAACTATCTTTTGCCCGCGACTTCGTCCCGGTAGTGTTTAATAAAAATGTTATTCGATTTTACTCTCTTGCTACATAGTACATAGTATGTGTCAATTCTATCAGTAAGATTCGCAATTTATTTTCACAAAATTAATTATATACAGAATTTCTAATAATGCACTTCAGCGCGCCATCTCGGATTCAACTATTTAACTATAACTATGATTGAATCTCAATGCTAACTTTTATCCTATAGAAAAAAAGGCTGTCTTTAGGGTTTTCCCGGCAATTATTCGAATTCCCGTAAAAACCATCCTTGGACTTTAACGAATATTTAAAAAAAAGAATGAGCCAAATTGGTTTATGCGTTGATGAGTTATGCGCTTACCAACAGATTTAGCGATTCATTTTTATATTATAGATTTTACCCTTTAAGTATTAGTTTTATATTTTAATAGTTATTCTGCTATTCGGGACGCAGAGGAATTTTATAAATCATAAATCATCAAAATCTGTCCAGCTA